ACTGGGCCCGACCACGTACCCCGTACCCCTTCGCTCCCCCCCCCCCCCCCCCACCCACACACATGTCCCCACTCTCTTACGTACATGGCTCAACAAGCTCAATGCCGACCCAGAAGCCGTCAGCAAAGCGTGTGCGTCCCAGGTAGCGGACACGACCGACACGTTGGTCGACGCGGACAAAGGTACCAAGGGCAAGCTCCGGACGGGGTGCCACACCGGCACTGGCTCCGAACCGCCCCGGGCTGTTCCCAGAGGCAGAAGGGAGGAAGAGTGACATGGGTGTGGAAGGGTGGTGGTGGTGGTGGTGGTGTATGGGTATGTGTGTGTGTGGGGTGGGGGGTGGTGGGGTGGGGGTGGGGGGGGGTGTGGGGGGGTGGGTGAGGTGGTCACCAACAGGCGGTTGGGTGAGGAAGTTGGCTCGTGGTGCTTGCCAGTTGGTTTGGTGGGATGGAGGAAGTGATGGAGATGGGGAGGTGAGGGAAGGGGGGGGGGGGGGGGGGGGCGAGGAGGAGGTTGTCAAGAGTGGTTGTAGTCATTGTAGGATTGTAGGTGGGTGGGGCAGTCGCAGTCAGCGTGGTTGCGGTTGCAGAAAGTCACAGCTGGAGGCCATCGTCGCTCTCCCAGGTTGACGACGAGCCAAAGACGGCATCGATGTCGTCGTCGTTGGAGCCGGCGACAAAGTCGTCGAGGACGATGGCGGTGTGCTTGGAGAGACGGTGGTAGTGGGCTGAGCGCCGCTGCCACCAGAGGCCGCCAGCGACGGCGAGGGCAAGTGCGGCGACAAAGAGGAGGACGATGAGCATGATCACAACGGTGGTGCCATTCTGGCGCGGGTGGGTACCAGCAGACGGGACCGGTGGCGGGCTCGGTGCCGGTGGCGACTCGGTCCATCCGCAGGTCGCACCAGCGGCGGCGTTGGCGTCGTCGAGAAAGACCCGGAGCGGGGCGAAAAACTCGAGGAGGGCGTCGGCAGACATGATAGGCTCGCCGGTCAGCTCACGCAGCGTGTCCTGCCACGGCTGCGAGGCGCCGGCGGCGAGCATCTTGGAGAGCGCGGCGCCTGCGGCCTCGGAGCCGTCGATGGTGCACTCGTGGAGCGGGCCGGTGTGGCCGGCAGCGGTGCAGAGCGCGTCGTGGAACTGGAACTGGAGGACAAAGGCGAGGAGGTAGCGGATGTAGGGAACGTTTGCCGGGACGTGATACTTGGCGGCGGCGTCAAAGTCGTCCGCGGAGCGACTTGTCGGTGGCGCTACGCCTTGGTACTTGCGACGGAGCGCCCACCAGTGGCTGTTCCACTTGTCGGGGCGGACCGAGCCGTCAAAGACGGCCCAGCGGAACTTGTCGACAACAAAGCCAAAGGGGATAAAGGCGACGCGCTCGAGCGCGACCTTGAGCAGCGCGTTGACGGCGGCAGCGTTAGAGGCAAGATCAGCTGGCGGTGGCGGCGACGGCGGGAGGAGACCGGCCTTGCGGAGGTAGGCTGGGGTGAGCGAGAGGACGATGGTGTCGCCGATGGCCTCGTGGAACCCGTTGTTGGCGCCCTCGCGGAAGAGCGCCGACTGGCCGGCGTAGCCGAGGTAGTAGAAGATGTGGCCAAGCTCGTGGTGAACGACGAAAAAGTCCTCGCCATCGACCTTGAAGCAGGCCTTGAGGCGGACGTCGCCACCGCCGAGATCCCACGCCGACGCGTGGCAGACGACGTCGCGGCCGTTGGACGGCTGGACCAGCAGCGAGTCAGCGTAAAAGTCCGGGCCCGGCCCGGCGAGGCCTAGGCGCTCAAAAAAGGCCACGCCCTCGCGGACCATGGCGGTAGCGTCCCAACCTGTGGCGCGGAGCCCGGCATCGAGCTCGACGTTGCCGGCACCGGGATACGGCTCGACGAGGCTGTAGATGTGCGACCAGTCCTGGGCCCACATGTTGCCGAGGAGGTGGGCCGGGAGCGCGCCGCCAGCCCAGGCCGGATCGTGAGCGTGGTCGGCATAGACGGGGGCTGCCGCCAGCTCGCGGCGGACGTAGCAGTGGAGGGCGGTGTAGAGCGGCTGGACCTCGGTCCACAACCGCTCGGCGACAGCCGCAAACTCGGCGGAGTCCATGTCAAACGCGGACCGCCACATGGCGCCGGTGTCGGCAAAGCCAAGATCGCGCGCACCGGCATTGGAGCTCTCGACCAGTTCCTCATACGGCGTGCGGAGGGCACCAAAGCCGGCGCGCCAGGCGGACCACACTGCGGCCTTGCGCTCCCACGAGGCGGCGGGATCGCGGATGATGTCGTCTGCAGCTGCAAGCGGAAGGCAGGCATCGTCGATGCATGCGCGCTTTGTAGCATAGAACGACTCCATGTCAGCCACAGTCTCTGCGATGTCGGCGGCATGGGCGCCTGGCGGAATAGTCTGGCGCGAGACAAGCAGCTCGAGCTTCCTTGCCACCTGCGGCAGGAGGCCGTCGATGTCGATGAGCTTCTCAGAGCGAATACGGACAACGGCGTCTGCCACGATGGACGAAGTGACATTGCTGGAAGCCAGAGCAGTGGCCAGGTGATCATCGGTGATGTCTGTGGCCCATGCGTAATAGGCAGCTGACTCTGCTGCGGCCGCCGCCCCATAGGCCGACTCGACCTCGTCCACCCATTCCGCCACCTCTGGCGCAGTCATTGCCTCAGCCAGCCAGCCACATGCCAGACAGGCAAGAGCAAGAGCGAGAGCGATGACAAGGGAAGCAGAAGAGGCCATGGAGTGACGTGAGGTGGCGTCTGTCGTTGAGAGGGACGGGAGTGGCCGTGACTGGCAGTCGTGCCCATGACCTGTGGCTCGGTCGGTGGCCATGGCCATGTGACCGTCACCCGGACCACTTAGCCACGGATGATACCCTCCCACATGGACCACACCCATCCGCCATCAGCACCATCACCAGTCTGATCATCCCCCCCCCCAACACCACCACCACCACTCTGATCATCCCCCCATTAGCACCATCATCACCACCACCACCACCACCACTATGATCATCCTCCCCACCACCACCACCACTCTGATCATCCCCCCATCAGCACCACCACCACCACTCTGATCATCCCCCCATTAGCACCATCATCACCACCACCACCACCACCACTATGATCATCCCCATCAGCACCACCACCACTCTGATCATCCCCCCATCAGCACCACCACCACCACTCTGATCACTCCCCCAACTAGGCCCCAGAAGGGATACCCCCCACCTCACTCCACCCCCATCCCCCTTTGGAGTAGTGAGTATGGACGACCGACCTGCAGCTCCTCTGCGGAGCTCATCGGTGGCTTCGAGGAGTGAGGGACATGCCGACCGAGTGTATGGCCCACATGGCGAGGTGGACGGGGTGGTGGACGAGGTGGACCGAGGCATGGACAGCGAGGAACATGGTCAGAACATGGTGGACATGTCGTCCATGATGGACATGCCGCAGGAGGCGGGAGGAGATGACTTGGTACGTGTGGGGGAGAGGGAGGGGGGAGAGGGGGAGAGGGGGGAGAGGGGGGAGGGGGGAGAGGGGGGGAGGGGAGGGGGAGAAGGGACTGACTGGCAGCGGACATGGGCACGGGGGGGCTGACTGGGTAACACCAACACCAACGCCGACACCGACATCGACACACTGTCCCCCATTGTGTGGGTGGACAGGACGAGTCACGCCCGCTAGAGGTCGGCTTTGCATCGTCGCAGATCATGGCGGTGGTCAAGCCCATCATCATCTGCATGATCATGACCATTTTCCTCGTTCGCACCATTCACATGGGCGTCGACAACTCGCAGCAGCGTTGGGCCGGCCTCGCGTACGACGAGGACAGCGACAGCGAGGCGTCGGGCGCACAAAAGCTCGGCGGCGCGCTCATCAACGCGCTCATTTTTGTGGTGCTCATCACGGTCATGACCTTTGTCTTTGTCCTCCTCTACAAGTACGGATGCATGAAGATCATCTACGGCTGGTTGATGATGTCGTCGTCGATGATGCTCGGCGCCATCGGCGCGTACATCTTCCTCCGCTTGCTCACAGTGTACAACGCGCCGCTGGACCTGTTCTCGTTCTTGTTCATCCTGTTCAACTTTGCCTGCGTCGGCATGGCCGCCATCTTCTGGCAGGCTCCGCTGCGGCTGCAGCAGAGCTACCTCATCATTTCATCGTCGTTCCTCGCCACTATGTTCTACGCGCTCCTCCCGACCTGGACGCGGTGGGTCCTTTTGGCTGCCGTCGCCGTCTACGACATTGTGGCCGTCCTCTGTCCCAAGGGTCCGCTCCGCATGCTTGTCGAGACCGCACAGGAGCGCCCAAACCAGGCCCTGCCAGGCCTACTCTACCACACTGGCATGGCATTTACCACCGTGACCATGGCCGACGCCGACCGCTCCGGCCCGTCGTCGTCCGACGGCGTGCCTGCTCGCCCACCACGCACCAGCGCCTCGTCGTCGGCCGCCCGCCCAGTCACCGTCATCAACGAGGACGGCACCCGCATCCGCGCCAAGTACCGCTACGAGTACGAGTACGAGTACGACGAGTCGGACGATGACGAGGCGCGCGACGGCGGACGCCGCGGCCGCCGCTCGCGCGGCCCGCCCGCCCTCGCCCCGTCCGCTAGCGATGAGGAGTCGTCGTCTGGCGGCGTCCCGCCTCCGCTCCCCACTCGGCTCACGGTTGAGCGCGAGACGCTCGATGGCGCCGAAGACCAGCTGCTCGGCAACCGGGCCCGGGCCGATGGCGCCATTCCGGCCCCGGCATCGGGCGCGTATTCGTCGCCGCTCGAGCGCGAGTCTGGCCGCGGCCTCTCGCTTGGCCTCGGCGACGCGGTCTTCTACTCGGTCCTCTCGTCGTCGTCGTCGGCATCGGGCGGCCTCATGGCGTTCTTCACCACCTCGGCCGCCATCCTTGTCGGCCTCGAGCTCACCCTCTTCTGCCTCGGGGTCTTCAAGAAGGCGCTGCCCGCGCTGCCGTTCTCCATCGCGCTTGGCATTTTTACCTACCTCGCCACCGAGCTCGTCATGAGCCCGTACTTTATCCAGCTCTCGATGGCCGGCGTGGTGGTGTGAAGCGTGGCGCGGGAGCAGACAGCAGGCGAGACGTGAGGCCCGTTTATTTGCGTTCTTTGCGTTAAAGTACACGGTACAAGGCCTTACTTGTTTTGTCTGCTCTTGCGCCACCTCGGCGCGGCGGCACGCGCGCGAGAACCAGGTCAACGTTGCACCTCACTTGCGTGGCTCGAGTTTGAGCGAGAGCGCGTAGGCCTCGGCCTCCTCCATGCCTTGGAGGCAGTTCTCGATAAAGTACGAGACGTAGTAGTCCTTGGGGATGTCGTAGACAGCCTCCTGGTACGTCCGCATCTGCTTGAGAACCCGCGCGCAGTGGAGCCACTTGGAGTAGTTGATGACTTCGTCGCGGATTTTGGAGCGGTTGCCGTCGATGATAAAGGTAAGGTCGGTGAGGAACATGCCAAGATACGGAAGGCACGGGAGCGAGGTGGAAAGGAGCTTGTCGCGGAGGAACTTGAAGTTCTTGTCGCGCGAGACGAGTACCCGGAGGTACGAGAGAACCTGCTGCTTGTCGTCGGGCACCTTGGCCCAAGTCTTCTTGAGTCGGTGGATTTCCGATGCGCCGAGGCCAGACACAATCTCCAGTACGCCGTTGAAGTTCTTGAGCATCATAAACTGCTCGGCGAGGTTAATAAACCTGACCACGGCCTCGACCCTCTTCTTGAGCTTGGACTGGCGCAGGATTTCGTACACGACCCAGCGCGACATGAGGTTGAACATGTCGATGAGGCGAGTGACGTGGACCGCCACGCCCTTGGTATCGCTCTTGCCCCACTTGCCCGAGAGCACCTCGCGCGGCTCAATGGTGGCAAAGATCTCGTACTCTAGCAGCGTCGCCTGCTGGGCAAAGACGCTCACGTCGAGCGAGGGCCATTCGATCTGGTTCGTCTCGCCTGGCGGGAGCTGCCACGCTGGTGCAAAGATGTCAATGCCGCGCATTCGCGAGTTCTGCACATCGGCGAGCGTCCGTGAGAACGACTGCTTGCCCTCGTTGGTCACCGTCGTCGAGCCGAGCAGCGCCGTGACGTGGAACCTGATGAGCAGGTCCATGAGGCCCTCTTGCTTCTTAAAGTCCGGAAAGTGTTCGGCGACCCAAGCCGTGAGCACGTAGAGCGCGTTCTCGGCGTACTGCGCCGGCGGGCCGTCGGGGTGCACAGGCTCCGGCCGGTGGTCCGGCACAGCAAACGGCGCGATCTGGTACATCAGCGCCCGCAGCAACTCAGTCGACGATATGAACGACGAGTGGACATACAAAAAGTCCGACACAAACTCGGCGTCTTCCGTCTCGAGTACTTGCGCCACCAGACCCGGCAGCTCGCCGCCAATGACCCGGTCGCCCTGCACGTAAACGTGGACCTCGGGTTCCTGCGGCGCTTCAAGGTCAAACACGTACGAGCCGGCAAACAGCGTCCGCATGTACACATCCGGCTGGTCGAGAATGCACGACGGCTCCTCAGGCTCGGGCTCGACCGACGGCGCCGCCGCTGCCGCCGCACTGTTAGTCGCCGCCGACTCGGAGAGCGCAGAGCCCGACTCCCACGACGCATGGTCTGGGAGGCCCGAGAGTGCTGACGACGTCGGCGGCGTCGACGACGCCGCCGTCGAGAGAGCAGCCATGAGGTCTTCCGACGAGTCGACCGAGTCGATGCGGTCACGCCCAGGTGTGACCACCGTCGAGCTCCGCTCGCGCCCACCACCGTTGATCGGCAGCGACGACGACGACGCCGACGCAAGGTGCATCAGCTTCGGGTTGGCGGTGAGGACGCCCGACGGCGCCAGTCCGTCGCCGAGCTCCGGCACTGCCACTGGAAGGCCTGTCGCTGAGTTGGGCATCGACGCGTTGAGTGCATCGCTGCCGCTGCCACCCGCGCCCGAGTTGGTGTCGTCGAGGGTGATGGTCGCGCGGCGAGCCGGCCCAGCGCCACCGTTCCGCGGCATGCTCAGGTTACCAGAGCCAGACGCCAGCTTCTGCTCGAGCATCTTCGAGTCCGAGACAAGCATCGAGGTGGTGAGGTACTGCTCGGCGCGAGCCTTTTCTGCTTGAGCTTGGCCGGGAGTGCCTTGAGGCACTCGGGGCGGTCGGCGTGGACATCGTGACCCTTGACGTTGCACGAGCGCTCCGAGCCGAACGGCTCGTCACAGACCCAGCATGCGTCGACGGTGGCCGAGTCGTCGCCGTCGTCGGTGTCGTCGTCGCCGGCGATCGGAGAGCGCGGCGACGATGGCGCTGCAGCAGGGCCGTCGCTCGCCACGTCCATTGTCGCCATGAGCGCAGTGTATGTCGCCGGCACGTAGCCCATTGCGTCCCCCATCTTGCCCAGCCACCAGTTGGCCGACGTCTTTTCAAGGATCTTGATAATGTCGCCGGCTGCAAAGGTCAGTTCGTGCTTGCCTGGCCGGCCGGTGTACGGCGCAATGGCCTGCACCACCATGATCGCCTTGGGCTCGGCCGCCTTGGCCGCTGCCTTGGCCGCTGCTTCGGCCTCGGCTGCGGCCTTGGCCGCCTCGGCTGCCGCGGCCTCAGCCTCGGCCGCCTCCTTCGCGGCCTTGGCCGCCGCCCCATACATGTAGTTACCGTGCTCGTCAAGCGCCGCAAACGCCCGGAGCTCTGGGTACCAGTGCGCGTTCGAGCCGCCGATGACTCGGAAGAGCTTGACAAAGAACTCGTCAATCTCGCGTGCCCGCGAGCCCTTGGCCGAGTCCGTCTTCAGCACCTTTTTCGACGCAGGCTTCAGCTTGGGCACCTCGAGCTTGTTCGCCTTGAGCGACTTCTTGAGCTCACTCGTCAGCTCATCAACCTCCTTCTCCGACTTGAACAGCGTCCACGTGTCATCGTCCTTCTGCATCCCCATCCGATACTGGATGTCCTTGGTTGTCCGCGTATGCTGGTCCGCCGTCACATCCTTGACCTCCACCCGAAAGGTGGTCTGGTACGATGCCATGAGCCGACTCCTTGCACCAACCGCACAAGCCGCCTTCACACGCCTGCCTCCCCGTCAGCACACCCACCAGCACGTGAGTTGTCACCGCGCCCCTTCCTTGCTTGCTGGCCACCCCCTTGCTCGCCGCAACAGCCACGGCCACAGTCACGGCCACGGCCGCAACATGACAGCAACACGCGCCAAGCACCGTGTAACAAAGGCCATACTGGTGCAGAGCACAAGCAGGCTATAGCGACCGCCAAGACATGGTGCCTTGGCGATGGGCAACAGCTGCGTCACCAAACCAAACTCCTTCGAACCCCCCTCCCTCCCTCCCTCCCCACGCCGTAGAGTCCCCCTCCCCCCTCCCCCCGCCCCTACCACCACTACCATCCCCCCCCTTCCCCCCCCTCTCCCCCCCTCTCCCCCCTCCCCCCCCCCCCCCCCTCCACACACACCTCCAACCCCACCAGCGCAGCAACCAGAGCCACTGTCCCTTCCCACCGACTAGGGAGTATGTCGTGCTGGCTTTGGTCGGCGCGTGCGCATTTTTTGTTGCCGCCGGCAACATCACCACCGCAGGCCGGCACGAGAGAAGGGTGGGTGGGTGGGGTACACCGAGTGGGGTAGGTGTGGGGGTTGGGTGGGGGGTGGGGTATAGGTCGACGGTGTGGGTGGTGTGGAGGGAGGGACGGTTGTGGCTCCCAGGTCACGTACTCGTGTAAGGGTAGGGTGGTGGTCAAGTGTGGGCAACAACTCCTCGAATGGGGGGGAGGGCTGAGCCCCGACTCGGCAGTAGCAGAGAGTGGCGGCTTGTGTCGACGGGTGACGACATGGCGACGTGGGGAATCAGAGGGGGGGGAGGGGGATCTGGTGGTTGCCGTGGTAGCTGTAGATCCGGGAGAAGGTGTATGGGGATGAGGAGAAGGGATGGGGGTTAGAGGCATTGGCAGTATCGTAGGTCCTGGCTACGTGCCGACTGTCGCCTCTGCCGCGTCGGGACGCAGCTGATGACCACCATCCACAAGCCGCAACAGGTTGGATATGGCTGGTATCAGCAGATCATGACGTTGGCCATCCGGATTCCGAGTTGTCATGCCTTCTTGCATGACCTTGGACGTAGCCTGGGCATGGGATGGAGCCCTGCTGGCGGTCACAGCTGGTATTCGGGTGGAGAGCGAGCGAGTGTCGGCATGTGCTTTGGACGAGGCAGAGAGAGGGCGAAGACGACCAGACTTGTCCGTGCCACATTGCTCTCTCCTTAAGCACAGCATGGATCCTGACGCCGAGGAGCAGCGCAAGCTGTTGAGTACGTGACATGCAAGAGGAGGGAGAGAGGGAAGGAGGGGAGGAGGGGGAGGGGAGGAGAGGGAGGGGGGGCCAGAGCCATGTCACGCGCATTTTTTTGGAGCCGTCCGTCCCTGACTTGCAGGGGGGCATACACAAGGATTGTGGCGTGCAGAGTGCGGGAAAGTGGCCTACGGGAGAGGGGAGAGAAAGACAAGGCTTTGCACAGAGTTTGGGAGAGAATGGAAGCCAGGAGGAGGCAGGAGGTGGGTGAGTGTGTGGGGCCAAGAGCACGGCTGACTGACGGGTGTGGGCGTTGGCGGGCGGGCGATGTGGTGGATGCAGACGATGCATCGCGTGTTGTGGAGGCGCAGGCATACCAGATGAAGCTGGCGCTGGACAACAACAAGCTGATGGACGCACTGAAGCACTGCTCGGACATGCTGTGCGAGCTGCGGACGTCGCTCCTTTCGCCGACCTCGTACTACTCGCTGTTTATCCAGGTCATGGACGAGATGCGGCACATGGAGTCGCACCTGCTGGACATGCACCGGCAGGAGGAGAAGGTGTCTGACCTGTACGAGCTTGTGCAGTACACGGGCAACATTGTGCCGCGGCTGTACCTGCTCATCACGGTGGGTGCTGTGTTTATCAAGACGTTTGAGGCGCCTGCGGCGGACATTCTCCGCGACCTGGTGGAGATGTGCAAGGGTGTGCAGCACCCGACGCGCGGGCTCTTTCTGCGGCACTACCTCTCGTCGCTGACCAAGGACAAACTTCCGGACGTGGGCAATGAGTACGAGGGAACGGTCGAGTCGTCAATTAACTTTACCATCCAGAACTTTACCGAGATGAACAAGCTCTGGGTGCGGCTCGGGTACCAGGGCGCGCTGGGCTCGCGTGAGATGCGCAACAAGTACCGCGCGCAGCTGCGGCAGCTCATCTACTCGAACATGGAGCGGTTGGGCAACCTGGAGGGCGTGACACAGGACGTGTACATTGAGAACGTGCTGCCGCGGGTGCTGGAGCAGGTTGTCTCGTGCCGCGACAAGCTCGCGCAGGAGTCTCTCACCGAGGCGGTCATCCAGTCGTTCCCGGGCTCGTACCATATTGCGACGCTCTCGCGGTTCCTGGAGGCGATTGGCGAGCTTGTGCCCGAGGTGGACGTCAAGTCGCTTATTGTCTCGCTCATCGACCGGCTCGCGGGCTTTGCAGCGTCGGACGAGGGCTCGCTGCCCAAGGACCTGGACGTGTTTGGCATTTTCTCGTCGGAGATTGCGTCGATCATGGAGTCGCGTGAGGGCATGCCACTTGAGGACGTGCTCTCGCTGCAGGTCTCGCTCCTCAACCTCACGCTGCAGTGCTACCCGGAGCGGACGGAGAATGTCGACGCGGTGCTCGGCTACTGCGGGCAGGTGCTGGCTGCGTCGGGAGTGGATCGGTCGAGCGTGACGCCGGCCATCACGAAGGAGGTGGCGAAGCTCCTACACATTCCAGTCGATACGTACGGCGACATGCGGACAGTGCTGGACCTTGCCAACTACAAGGACCTCATCCAGTATCTTGGACACGCAGAGCGGTCGGTGACTGCGCAGTACATTGCGAGTGCGGTGCTGAAGGGCCACACGCCGCTGGCGACGGTGGAGCATGCGCAGGACTTGCTGCACATGATTGCGTGCCTGCTGACGGACGAGGACGACGCGCCGGACGCGAGCGAGGTCGACGCCGAGGACTTTGCCGAGGAGCAGACGCTTGTGGCGCGGCTCATCCACCTCATCACCTCGCCGGTGGCAGACGTCCAGTTCCAGCTGTACGTGGTCTCGCGACAGGCGTTTGGCAAGGGCGGCCCGTCGCGGATCAAGTACACGCTCCCGCCGCTCGCCTTTGGGGCGCTCCGGCTGACGCAGCGGTACAAGGCCGCGGGGCTCGCAGGCGACGACGAGATGTGGGAGAAGAAAGTGCTCAAGGTCTTCAAGTTTGTGCACCAGACTATCACGGCTCTCGCGTCGGAGGAGCCGGAGCTCGGGCTTCGGCTGTTTCTGGCTGCTGCGGCGACGGCGGACACATGCGGGCTCGAGGCCATTGCGTACGAGTTTGTTTCGCGGGCATTCACCATTTACGAGGAGGATATCAACGACAACAAGGCGCAGCAGGCGGCAATGGCGCTCATTGTGGGTGGGCTCCAGGCCATGGGCCGCCGCTCGCTCGACGAGGACTCGTACGAGACTGCCGCGGCCAAGGCGACGGCGCACTCGTCGCGGCTGATGCTGGTGAGCGATCAGGCACATGGCGTCTGCCGCGCCTCGCACCTGTTCTGGACCAACGGCCCCGACGAGGACTCGGCCGTCGCCACTCTGGAGCTTACGCCGGTCCGCGACGGCGAGCGCGTTCTGCAGTGCCTCAAGAAGTCGCTCAAGATCGCCGCCAAGTGCATGGACGCAGTTGAGCAAGTTGGGCTCTACGTCGACATTCTCGAGGAGTGCCTGCTGTATGTCGACTCTGGCAACGAGGCCGTGACCGCCAAGTACGTCAACGGCCTTGTGCAACTCATTCGCTCCAACCTCGGCAACCTCGAGTCGCCGACCCTGCCGTTGTGCCGATCCGGACCCAGTTTGCCAATGTTGTTGCCCACGTCGAGCGCAAGGTTGCTGCCGCAGCCGACGATGACGACGGCGTGTGGGCGGCGATCGAGCTGTAGTCAGTCAAGAGCGATAAAGCTCGGAGGCAGGCAAGTGTTTACCCCTGCTGGCCGAGGAAGGTGAGCTGGTCGCAAAAGGCCTCGGCGCCAATGAGCTGTGTGGTGCCGTAGGTGACCGTGAGCGAACGGCCGGGCGAGGACGAGACCTTCTTGGCGTACTCGGAGAGGTTCTGGTACTCGATGTAGTTGCCGCCGCCGACGACAAAGACAATGGCATGCGAGAAAGAGGTGGGTGCAGAGCCGGCGGCGGCGGCACGAGCCGACGACTTAGGGTCGAGCAGCAGGTAGTTTGCGGCGTCCTTGGCGGCGGCGGATGAGCCCGCCTTGGGGCCATCCAGGAGAGCGGCGACGAGGCGGGTGAGCGGGAGGTGGTTATCGGACGGGAGCCAGTTCTCCACGCCTGTCATCTTGAGCAGGGTCTTGCCAGACTTGAGCAGCTGGCCCCACGAGAGCTTGGTGGACGAGGCCGAGGCCGAGGCCGAGGCGCGGGCGGCAGGCGACATGCGCATGAACGACTTCATCTGCTTGAGGTGCTTAAGGGCGGCAATGTCGACGCCGAGGCCGGTGAGTGCGTCCGAGAGCCGGGTCTCGTCCTCGATCTTGACCTTGGGCGTGGCCCAGAACCAAATGAGGAAGAGGCGGAGCTTGTCGGCGAGGGTGCCCTTGGTCAGCAGGATCTCCTCGAGCGAGGCAATGTCGGTCTTCTCGCCCTGCAGGATGGACTCCTCGGCAAAGAAAAAGGTATCAAGGGCACGGTCCTCGATCTCGGAGAGAAGGGCGGTGGCAAGCGAGGTGTGAACGTCGATGAGCTGCTTGGTCCGCGAATGGTCGTTGAGGTTTGCGGCGAGGTCGCGGGTCTCCCCGACGAGCGCAGTTCCGTCGGACGGCCCAGCGTCGCCGGCGGCCTGGGCCTTGAGGCTCTTGACCCGGTCCATGACTGCAGCGTACTTGGCGACCATGTCTTCAACAAGGTCGCCGATTTGCGGGAACGGGGTGGCGGCGTGCTCGCCCCAGAACTCGTCGGCCGCCGGGTCGAGCTCGTACGAGGTCGGTCCGCTTCCGCCGGGCGGCGTGAGCCGGACCCGGTTGAGCGAGTACTCGAGCGTGTCATCGACAAGCGTCTGATACGTCCACGAGTGCTGGAGCATGACTGCCATGTCGACGGTCCGGTCGGTGAGGACCAGGAGCGGGCGCTCAAACGAGCCGAGAATGGCCGACTCGGTTACGGTCACCTGCTCAAAGAGGGCAAGACCGGCCATGCGCGCGTCGCGGATGCGGGCGTCCAGCCGCTGGGCCACCATCGCCGCCGGGCCGTTGGCTGGCGCGCGGATAATGGGAATGGCCGAGAGGGTGGCGCAGACGGCAAAGAGGCCGTCGACAACCGAGTCGACGTACGCCTCGATCTCCGAGTCGGCGACGCCAGCAGCGTTGAGCCTGCGGTACGAGTCCGAGTGGTAGAGCGTAAAGAGTGAGTCCTCCAGCGCCACAAAGGCACAGTACTGGTCGTAGACAGCCTCGATGAGTGGAACGCAACCGGCAGCCACGGCGTCTGCAGCCAGCGAGTCGAGCGCTGCAGGGGCAATGGGCGTGACAAAGTGCAGCTGGAGGGCATCGTACAAGCCGGCCCGACCATCGGCCACGATGCGCTTGAGGTTGTCGTGAGTCGGCTTGACAAAGTAGACAGCAACGACGTCCGGAATCGCCTCTCTCTGTCCATGCAGATCCAGGTAGAGCGTGACGCCCTTGTCGCGGAGGTGGCCGACCTTGACCAACGGTGCGAGGACATCCTTACAGAACGAGTCGTAGATGAGGACCTTCCACTGCAGCGGGGCCGACGACTGAATCTTGTCCGACGTGCTCCCAGAGTCGAGCATGTCGAGGATGGTTTCTGTGTGTGGGGGGGGTGGGGGGGGGGGGGGGAGGGATGGTGGTTAAGGCGTAGGAGGGTGGGTGG